CCAACTATTCTTAATGACCCTGTGTAGTAGATAGGTTTTAAACCCCATTAACCAACCAACCAGTCTTAATGACCCTGGTGTAGTAGATAGGTTTTAAACCCCATTAACCAACCAACCAGTCTTAATGACCCTGGTGTAGTAGATAGACTTTAAACTTCAGCCTTGCCAATCGATAGACTTTAAACCTAACAAACTAGCCAATCGACATATTTCAAACCTTTCAACCAACACAAATAGATCCATCTATCTGCAGTTACTTGTACAATGGTAGTTGTGCAGGCTTGATCCACCGTCTGTGTGAGTGTTATACAACACTGGTAGTTGTGCAGGCTTGATCCACCGTCTGTGTGAGTGTTATACAACACTGGTAGTTGTGCAGGCTTGATCCACCGTCTGTGTGAGTGTTATACAACACTGGTAGTTGTGCAGGCTTGATCCACCGTCTGTGTGAGTGTTATACAACACTGGTAGTTGTGCAGGCTTGATCCACCGTCTGTGTGAGTGTTATACAACACTGGTAGTTGTGCAGGCTTGATCCACCGTCTGTGTGAGTGTTATACAACACTGGTAGTTGTGCAGGCTTGATCCACCGTCTGTGTGAGTGTTATACAACACTGGTAGTTGTGCAGGCTTGATCCACCCTCCATGTGTGTGTTATTCAGCACAGGGAGTGTTGGAGCCTTGATCTGCGGTCGCTTGTTCGATGTTCCTCTGTGATCTCTAAATTATTAACGAGGGTTTCCCTGTTTAGCAGCACTAAGTCAAGCAGGTTATCTTCCCCTCGTTAATCATGTAGCTCGATCGCTAGCACACTAAGCTCACACACTCAGGTCCGTGGTTCGATCCCCGGTACAGTTGGAAAACATTACCACGTGTTTCCATAAGACACCTACTGTCCATGTTCACCTAGCTGTAATTAGGTACCTGGGTGTTAGTCACCTTTCTACTATTTCCGTTGTTACTTGATGACTGGTTTTTCTAAATTCACAATCTATTTTTCCCTCAACAACTCGCTCTCTAATTTCTAGTTTAGGGTCGTAACAGCATCCGCCACTGAGCTAGCTAAAGCTGCCTCACCTGCCCTAGATAAATGACCCTTATGTCTTACACAGTCATTTCTGTCACAGAAATAACCCCTCTTAAGGACGAGTGTCCTTATAGTGATTATCCAGGCAGCAGTTAACTCCAGTTTCTCTAGACAGTGCACAAATGACTCATACATAAGTTTCATTCTCCTATGCGCAGGTTATTTGTGTATTATTCCAGTTACATTTTATTCCTCTTCCTCTGGACAACCATTCCTCTTCCTTATAAAATGTCACATATGACTGGGATCCTTCTTTTCTTCCTAATGAAATCTATCACTGTCATAAACCTGCTAATCATGTCCTTGCTTCTGTCCTCATCAACATGATTGCCTCCAGCAGAGATGTGTAATAAAGTGTTCCTCATTACTAGACATGATGCAGTCACATTGGTTAACAATGTTAGACATTGATAAATTAGACACATGTGCAACTCTTGGATATCTTTATTAAGGAAACGTTTCGCCACACAGTGGCTTCATCAGTCCATACACAGGAGAAGCTTGAAGAATAGGAGGAGAATAAGGTAATCAGTCCCTCAACCTTGAGTAGAATACGTATTCTACTCAAGATTGATGGACTGACCACATCGACTCAAGGTTGAGGGACTGATTACCTCATTCTCCTCCTATTCTTCAAGCTTCTCCTGTGTATGGACTGATGAAGCCACTGTGTGGCGAAACGTTTCCTCAATAAAGATATCCAAGAGTTGCACATGTGTCTAATTTATCAACGTGTCGGTTATGTGAACCATTCATCTACAATGTTAGACATCTTAGTCCCAGGAAAACATTTCCTCTGCCTCACCTTCCTATCTCAAGGATGTGAAACTCTATCACTGTACTTTACTTGGGAATATCCAGCAAGGATAACATTCTTACACTGGTGAACTTCATAGTGTGATCCTCCCACTGTCGTTCCTATCTGTCTAGACTTAATAATAATAATAATCTTTATTTACTACCAGTACATGTACAAGGTATACAGACCATAGTTGACATCAATGACATACTACTATATAGAAAGCCGCTTGTTATGCTGAGCATTTCGGGCAAATGATACATTTATCTTGGAGCATGTTAAAGGTGTCAGTAGTTTATACCTCTACGTGTTTCTTTTTGGGCTCTTTGTGCTACGACTTCCTTGTGCTACGACTTCCTTGTGCTACGACTTCCTTGTGTTACGACTTCCTTGTGCTACGACTTCCTTGTGTTACGACTTCCTTGTGCTACGACTTCCTTGTGCTACGACTTCCTTGTGCTACGACTTCCTTGTCCTACGACTTCCTTGGGCTACGACTTCCTTGTGCTACGACTTCCTTGTGCTACGACTTCTTTGTGCTACGACTTCCTTGTGCTACGACTTCCTTGTGCTACGACTTCCTTGTGCTACGACTTCCTTGTGCTACGACTTCCTTGTGCTACGACTTCCTTGTGCTATGACTTCCTTGTGCTACGACTTCCTTGTGCTACGACTTCCTTGTGCTACGACTTCCTTGTGCTATGACTTCCTTGTGCTACGACTTCCTTGTGCTATGACTTCTTTGTGCTACGACTTCCTTGTGCTACGACTTCCTTGTGCTACGACTTCCTTGTGCTACGACTTCCTTGTGCTACGACTTCCTTGTGCTACGACTTCCTTGTCCTACGACTTCCTTGTGCTACGACTTCCTTGTGCTACGACTTCCTTGTGCTACGACTTCTTTTTGCTACGACTTCTTTTTGCTACGACTTCTTTGTGCTACAATTTCTCTATGATATCATCTTACACCTCGTTCCATTCCTGTCCACTATTTTTCCGCTTCCTTCAGTCTCCTCAGGATTGCTCACATGAGGTCTGCTATGAATCCGTTGGTTCTAGATAGTAGTCGTATCTCTCAAACCAGGGAACAGGTGGGGTTTAAACCAATGGCAAATCAGTCCTAAAACTCACAGATCACTGTGTATGCAATTATATTATCACGAATTTTTAAAAGGGATGGATGGGTAAGCCAGTGGAAGGCCTCGGTCAGATGGCCAAAAGCTCCAACTGTGGGTCATCATACGACTAAGACCTGCGTCAGGAAACACTTGTCCTGTTACCTGACAAACCTTACCTAACCTAACCTCTCTCTGTCTCCTAGCTTCCTCCAGCTCCCCCTCCTCCACTGGTAGTTCAGCTGATCCTGAGAAGACGCCCTTGTTCACACGATGCACCTTGCCACTGGTATCAGTTTGATCAATTATTTTCCAAAACAGTTTGTTGGATCCAAGTAGAAACATCCTTAATAAATGCTCGACATTCTTATCAATAATACTGAAAAAGAAATAATATTAATTATGAGGTTTAATACTATACAGAAGAAGGGGGTTACTAGCTCCTAGCTCCCGGCATTTTAGTCGCCTTTTATGACACGCATGACTTACGGAGGAAATAATAAGAACAAGAACTATTAAGAAAACTTCAAAGAAAACTCAGATAAATGTGTATATGTGTATACATAAACAGGTGTTTGTATGTATAGTGTAACCTAAGTGTAAGTAGCAAGATATACCTGTTATCTTGTGTGTATATGAGACACCAACGATCCTGCATGCCTCTGGCAAGATAGTTATAGCGTGAATGATGGTGAAAGTGTTTCTTTTTCGAGTTATCCTGCCTCGGCAGGGGACGACCAGTGTGCTAACAAAACATATAAGAGATTCCTTAATTTTTCTTTGCTGTTTCCTGACATTCCATCGCAATTTTAACATTTAAATTAACTTAACGATTCCCTGTACTTTGCTGAAACACAAGGTGATTACTGACCCTGGTGTATACAGATTATCCATGCTGATACAGCGGACATTTACTGTCGTTATTTACCCAAGGTAGTTTTTAAACCACTCGCGCACGGGATCTCATAAATGCCCCCATATCGGCGAGTTCAAAAAACTTAATTTTTCACAAATATGAGATAGATTGAAACCCCGGGAAGGCAATGTTGATGCAATTGGAAGTTGAACACAGGAAGCCCCAGGACCTTCCAAATGTGTATAATAAAAAATAAATATTGATGTTACATTTTTGTAAGTGAAGGATTTTTGGTATTGTGTCCAATGAATTTCACCCATAAGATTTAAAATGAAAATCACAACACCTACATGTAGAAACGAAATGTGTGATGTTCTGCCCAACCTGAAAAATTTTAACTAGCCACAAAAAGTAAAAAATAAGGGGCCAGAGTATATATGAGAGAGGACAGGGGAAGGGGAGTGGTAGAAAAAGAGAAGGGAATAGTATCAGCATAAAAATAGTGAAAACATTTTATAATATAATAAATAAAAATATATATATAATATATATATATATATATATAATAAAAAATTATAAATATAAAATTTATATTTATTATATATATTATATATATATAAAATATATAATATATATATATTATATAAAGAGAGGAGAGAAGAGAGAGAGAAGAGAGAGAAGAGAGAGAGAGAGAGAGGAGAGCAGAGAGGAGAGAGAGAGAGAGAGAGAGAGAGAGAGAGAGAGAGAGAGGAGAGAGAGAGAGAGAGAGAGAGAAATACGTGGACGGGTTATTACTAATGAAACTTTAAGGTACACCCCCCTGGACCCTTTATATGTCTTATAAGTTGATGTACAAGAGAACAGTCCAATTTTGGTCCAACCTTCAGCCTAACCCCCCCCCTCCTCCGAGCCCAATGTCCGAAATCTTTTATTTTTTTCTGTAAATTTGTTAGTATTTTATTATTTATTTTTCCTGTAAATGAATTATATTCTCTGTAAATCAATTATATTTCCTGTAAATTATACTTGTTGTAAATTACTTTTAGTGTAAATTAATTTTTCCATAAATTAATTATTTTATCTGCCAAAAAAATGTCCTGTAAATTATTGATTTCAATTAAATTATTAATGTTTCTTTTTCAGCTTCTTCTGTAAACGTTTTCTTTTGTAAATTAATACCTTTTACCCATTTTTTGTAAATTAGCTTCAGTGTAAATTGCGTCTGTAAATTAATAACCTCCACAAATTTTCCAGGATAGACTCCTATGCAAATTAATGTAAATTTTCCATATAACAACCAGTTTTCACTGAAAATTTACATTCCAAACTGTAAAACGATATTTTTGTAAATTAATCTTACGAATAAATAAATACTCTGAAGTAAATAGATTTTTTTCAATATATTTTTCATTATTCTGGTGTATTTCCAGTTACCGAACGGGAAGAGTGCGTGGGGCGGGCGAGGCGGCGGCCAGAAGAAGGTCTCGGAGGCCCAGAAGAGATGGGTCAGTAAGAACAAGGTGAGTGAACAGGGTGAGTGTGAACAAAGTGAGTGAACAGGGTGAGTGAACAGGGTGAGTGTGAACAAAGTGAGTGAACAGGGTGAGTGAACAGGGTGAGTGTGAACAAAGTGAGTGAACAGGGTGAGTGAACAGGTGAGTGTGAACAAAGTGAGTGAACAGGGTGAGTGTAAACAAGGTGAGTGAACAGGGTGACTGTGAACAAAGTGAGTGAACAGGGTGAGTGTGAACAAAGTGAGTGAACAGGGTGAGTGTGAACAGGGTGAGTGAACAGGGTGACTGTGAACAAAGTGAGTGAACAGGGTGAGTGAACAGGGTGAGTGTGAACAAAGTGAGTGAACAGGGTGAGTGTGAACAGGGTGAGTGTGAACAAGGTGGGTGTGAACAAGGTGAGTGTGAACAAGGTGAGTGTGAACAGGGTGAGTGTGAACAGGGTGAGTGTGAACAGGGTGAGTGAACAGGGTGAGTGTGAACAGGGTGAGTGTGAACAGGGTGAGTGTGAACAGGGTGAGTGTGAACAGGGTGAGTGTGAACAGGGTGAGTGTGAACAAGGTGGGTGAACAGGCTGAGTGTGAACAAGGTGAGTGAACAGGGTGAGTGTGAACAAGGTGGGTGAACAGGGTGAGTGTGAACAAGGTGGGTGAACAGGGTGAGTGTGAACAAGGTGGGTGAACAGGGTGAGTGTGAACAGGGTGGGTGAACAGGGTGAGTGTGAACAAGGTGAGTGTGAACAGGGTGAGTGTGAACAAGGTGAGTGTGAACAGGGTGAGTGTGAACAAGGTGGGTGAACAGGGTGAGTGTGAACAAGGTGGGTGAACAGGGTGAGTGTGAACAAGGTGGGTGAACAGGGTGAGTGTGAACAAGGTGGGTGAACAGGGTGAGTGTGAACAAGGTGAGTGAACAGGGTGAATGTTAACAAGGTGGGTGAACAGGGTGAGTGTGAACAAGGTGAGTGAACAGGGTGAGTGTGAACAAGGTGAGTGAACAGGGTGAGTGTGAACAAGGTGAGTGAACAGGGTGAGTGTGAACAAGGTGAGTGAACAGGGTGAGTGTGAACAAGGTGAGTGAACAGGGTGAGTGTGAACAAGGTGAGTGAACAGGGTGAGTGTGAACAAAGTAGGTGAACAGGGTGAGTGTGAACAAGGTGAGTGTGAACAGGGTGAGTGTGAACAAGGTGAGTGTGAACAGGGTGAGTGTGAACAAGGTGAGTGAACAGGGTGAGTGTGAACAAGGTGAGTGTGAACAAGGTGAGTGTGAACAAGGTGAGTGTGAACAAGGTGGGTGAACAGGGTGAGTGTGAACAAGGTGGGTGTGAACAAGGTGGGTGAACAGGGTGAGTGTGAACAAGGTGAGTGAACAGGGTGAGTGTGAACAAGGTGGGTGAACAGGGTGAGTGAACAGGGTGAGTGAACAGGGTGGGTGAACAGGGTGAGTGAACAGGGTGAGTGTGAACAAGGTGGGTGTGAACAGGGTGAGTGAACAGGGTGAGTGAACAGGGTGGGTGAACAGGGTGAGTGAACAGGGAGAGTGTGAACAAGGTGGGTGTGAACAGGGTGAGTGTGAACAAGGTGAGTGTGAACAAGGTGAGTGAACAGGGTGAGTGTGAACAAGGTGAGTGTGAACAAGGTGAGTGTGAACAAGGTGAGTGTGAACAAGGTGGGTGAACAGGGTGAGTGTAAACAAGGTGAGTGTGAACACGGTGAGTGTGAACAAGGTGAGTGTGAACAGGGTGAGTGTGAACAAGGTGAGTGTGAACAAGGTGGGTGAACAGGGTGAGTGTGAACAAGGTGAGTGTGAACAAGGTGGGTGAACAGGGTGAGTGTGAACAAGGTGAGTGTGAACACGGTGAGTGTGAACAAGGTGAGTGTGAACAGGGTGAGTGTGAACAAGGTGGGTGAACAGGGTGAGTGTGAACAAGGTGAGTGTGAACAGGGTGAGTGTGAACAAGGTGGGTGAACAGGGTGAGTGTGAACAAGGTGGGTGAACAGGGTGAGTGTGAACAAGGTGAGTGAATGTGAACAGGGTGAGTGTGAACAAGGTGAGTGAATGTGAAACAGGGTGAGTGTGAACAAGGTGAGTGTGAACAAGGTGAGTGTGAACAAGGTGAGTGTGAACAAGGTGGGTGAACAGGGTGAGTGTGAACAAGGTGAGAGAGTGTGTACAGGGTGAGAGAACGTGAATAGGGTGAGAAAATGTGAACAGGGTGAGTGTGAACAGGGTGAGTGTGAACAGGGTGAGTGTGAACAGGGTGAGTGTGAACAGAGTGAGAGAGTGTGAACAGGGTGAGTGTGAACAGGGTGAGAGAGTGTGAACAGCGTGATAGAATGTGAACAGGGTGAGAGAACGTGAATAGGGTGAGAGAGTGTGAACAGGGTGATAGAATGTGAACAGGGTGAGAGAATGTGAATTGGGTGAGAGTGTGAACAGGGTGAGAGAACGTGAACAGTGTGATAGAACGTGAACAGGGTGAAAGAACGTGAAACAGGGTGAGAGAATGTGAATACGGTGAGAGAACGTGAAGAGGGTGTGAGAACGTGAAGAGAGTGAGAGTACGTAAACAGGGTGAGAGAAAGTGAACAGGGTGATAGAACGTGAACAGGGTGAGAGAATGTGAACAGGGTGAGAGAGCGTGAACAAGGTGAGAGAACGTGAAAAGGGTGGGATAGCGTGAAGACGGTGAGAGAATGTGAACAGGGTGAGTGTGAACAGGGTGAGAGAGTGTGAACAGGGTGAGTGTGAACAGGGTGATAGAATGTGAACAGGGTGAGACAACGTGAATAGGGTGAGAGAGTGTGAACAAGGTGATAGAATGTGAACAGGGTGAGAGAAAGTGAATAGGGTGAGAGAGTGTGAACAGGGTGATAGAATGTGAACAGGGTGAGCGAATGTGAATAGGGAGAGAGAGTGTGAACAGGGTGATAGAATGTGAACAGGGTGACAGAATGTGAATAGGGTGAGAGAGTGTGAACAGGGTGATAGAATGTGAACAGGGTGAGAGAATGTGAATAGGGTGAGAGAGTGTGAACAGGGTGAGAGAACGTGAACAGGGTGAAAGAACGTGAACAGGGTGAGAGAATGTGAATACAGTGAGAGAACGTGAAGAGGGTGAGAGAACGTGAAGAGAGTGAGAGAACGTAAACAGGGTGAGAGAACGTGAACAGTGTGATAGAACGTGAACAGGGTGAAAGAACGTGAACAGGGTGAGAGAATGTGAATACAGTGAGAGAACGTGAAGAGGGTGAGAGAACGTGAAGAGAGTGAGAGAACGTAAACAGGGTGAGAGAACGTGAACAGTGTGATAGAACGTGAACAGGGTGAAAGAACGTGAACAGGGTGAGAGAATGTGAATACAGTGAGAGAACGTAAACAGGGTGAGAGAACGTGAACAGGGTGAGAGAATGTGAACAGTGTGATAGAACGTGAAAAGGGTGATAGAACGTGAACAGGGTGAGAAAGTGTGAACAGGGTGAGATAGCGTGAACAAGGTGAGAGAAAGTGAACAGGGTAATAGAACGTGAACAGGGTGAGAGAATGTGAACAGTGTGATAGAACGTGAAAAGGGTGATAGAACGTGAACAGGGTGAGAAAGTGTGAACAGGGTGAGATAGCGTGAACAAGGTGAGAGAACGTGAACAGGGTGAGAGAGTGTGAACAGGGTGAGAGAACGTGAACAGGGCGAGAGAACGTGAACAGGGTGAGAGAGTGTGAACAGGGTGAGAGAACGTGAACAGGGCGAGAGAACGTGAACAGGGTGAGGGAGTGTGAACAGGGTGATAGAACGTGAACAGGGTGAGGGAGTGTGAACAGGGCGAGAGAACGTGAACAGGGTGAGGGAGTGTGAACAGGGCGAGAGAACGTGAACAGGGTGAGAGAGTGTGAACAGGGTGAGAGAACGTGAAGAGTGTGATAGAGCGTGAACAGGGTGAGAGAACGTGAACAGGGTGAGAGAGTGTGAACAGGGCGAGAGAACGTGAACAGGGTGAAGGAGTGTGAACAGGGCGAGAGAACGTGAACAGGGTGAGGGAGTGTGAACAGGGTGATAGAACGTGAACAGGGTGAGAGAACGTGAAAAGGGTGAGAGTGTAAAGAGGGACAGAGAGAGTGAACAGGGTGAGAGAACGTGAAGAGGGTGAGAGAACGTGAACAGGGTGAGAGAGTGTGAATAGGGTGAGAGAACGTGAACAGGGCGAGAGAACGTGAACAGGGTGAGAGAACGTGAACAGGGTGAGAGAACGTGAACAGGGTGAGAGAACGTGAACAGGGTGAGAGAACGTGAACAGGGTGAGAGAGCGTGAACAGGGTGAGAGAACGTGAACAGGGTGAGAGAGCGTGAACAGGGTGAGAGAGCGTGAACAGGGTGAGAGAACGTGATCAGGGTGAGAGAACGTGAACAGGGTGAGAGAGCGTGAACAGGGTGAGAGAACGTGAACAGGGTGATAGAACGTGATCAGGGTGAGAGAACGTGAACAGGGTGAGAGAACGTGAACAGGGTGATAGAACGTGAACAGGTGATAGAACGTGAACAGGGTGAGAGAACGTGAACAGGCTGAGAGAACGTGAACAGCTTAAGAGAATGTGAACAAAGTGAGAGAATGTGAACAGGGTGAGAGAACGTGAACAGGGTGAGAGAATGTGAACACGGTGAGAGAACGTGAACAGGGTGAGAGAATGTGAACACGGTGAGAGAACGTGAACAGAGTGAGAGAATGTGAACAGGGTGAGAGAACGTGAACACGGTGAGAGAACGTGAAGAGTGAGAGAACGTGAACACGGTGATAGAACGTGAACAGGGTGAGAGAACGTGAACAGGGTGAGAGAACGTGAACAGGGTGATAGAACGTGAACAGGGTGAGAGAACGTGAACAGGGTGAGAGAACGTGAACAGGGTGAGAAACGTGAACAATTGAAGAGAACGTGAACATGGTGAGAAACGTGAACAGGTGAGAGAGCGTGAACAGGGTGATAAAAAAGTGAACAGGGAGAGAGAAACTGAACAGGGG